GCTGGCCTTGAAGAAGAAGCTTCTGTGTTGTGAGATACTATATGGAGAAGTCCACCTAACAAGGAGTTAATGGTAGCCTCTAGCCAACAGCTAACAAGTAGCTGAGTCCTTCAGTCCAGCAGTCTGCAAAGGAACCACATTTTGCCAAAACCCATTTGAGTTTGGTAGTGGTTCATGCCAGTTGGGTCTCAAATGAGACTGCAGCCTAGCTAATATAATGAATACAGCCTTGCAAAGGACAGAGCTAAATCATGTCCAGATTCCTAATGCAAGAAAACTGTGAGATAATAAGTGTACGGTATTTTAATCCTCTAAGTGTGTGGTAATATTGTTACATACTAGCATAGAAAACTATGAACGAACTATGTGTGTGTATATATATTTATGATTGTGTGTGTGTGTGTGTGTGTGTGTGTGTATATATACACATCTTTGGCTTCTGATTCTCATCTGAACATTATATATCAAGTGACTTGGTTTCCTTAAAAGATCATGCTGTATTACTGTTTCGGTCCCTTTAACTGGCAGGTTGTACATTTTCAGCAATAGCTGAAGCTTTTGAGAAATTTCAGAGAAATGTTAATTTTTGAATCGCATAGTGATGCCCATCAGAGAGCATCCCACCTGCAAGGGACAGTAAGCAACCCCATAGACAGGGTAATTCCACTACATGATATTATATCTGATGGATATAATTATAAAAACAGGGAAACTCAGCCACTCTTACTAAGTGCCATAATTGTACTAGAAACATGAAATGCTGAGAGTTAGGGGTTAAATGGCCTAAACATGTCAGACATCTACAAACTGAAAGTTATCACATGTCTTACTTTCTATCACAAAGAAAGAAGCACAACACCTGCTGCACTTCTTTGGTTTCTGAAGTCATATTTACCTGGGAATGTTGTTCTGACACATTCCCTGAATGACACAGATGACAGTCTACTTTAAGTGATTCCAGGAGAAGAGAAAGGCTCTGCATCAGCTCTAGACTGTGGGACAAGAAATCCTTTTCTTGGACCACACAACATTTCAGAGCCTATGATATGGAATGTATCAATAGTGAGAAAAGATGCTATTGGATGAATGAATAAGTTGGAAGTTTCAATTAAAAAATCGCAAAGAAGAGATCAAGAATTCTGAAGCAAGGCCACATGCTCCTTAGCCAAAAAAAAAAAAAAAAAAAAATTAGAAATAAAAAATCAATCATATACTATTCAATATGTGGCTCTTGGCATAGAATTTGGGCCCTGATAGAGACAAAGCATGTCATAATGAGATGTCAAGGCTACAACTGCCCATCAAGATCTGGGTTTTGTCAGGAGCTAACACAAACACATAAGGTCCAGTGAGCTCAGTATAAACTGATGGTGATAGACCCAGAATTGGGCATAAGTAGGGCAGGAACACCAATATGCTGCATGAGTAGGAGGCCAGACTCCTATGCCATCCACCATCATTATACTGGTTCCAGTCTCTAAGCTCAAACAAATGGTTCATGATGACTATTAGAGGAGAAAAAAGGCTAAGCTTGGTTCATCCATACACTGAGAAGGTAAGTGGAAGCAATCTTAAAATAAATGTTGCCTCTCTGTGATCCTGATAGATGGTGATGAGTCAAAATTCTCTCAATGGTTCAAACTTCATGCAGTATACATAGTCATGCATTTTTCACATAAAACGAAGTGTCCTCAAGTAAGACTATGTAATGCTTATTCATAGTAGTGGCAAATGGCTTGGCTGTTTGGTCAGGTGCCTGAAAGTAGAAAGACTGGAATATATGGAGAAGGAGGACTATGAAAGAAAGAAAGAGAGGGACCAGCAGTTAGCGTAATGGCTATGTCGCCGGACTCCCACGTGGTTGACCGTGGTTCGTGTCCCAGACCCGGTGGCTTAAAACTCATGCCGGGCACGTGTGCGTGCGTGCCCAAGATCCCGAGAGGAGAACAGAGGGGAAGGGATTGTGGCATGACCATCCCCCCTGGGGGGTGATTTTTCTCTTTCTGTCTCTCTGTCTCTCTCTGTCTGGTGAGCACATGCGCCCTATAGCAAAAACATCTCCGAAAGAAAGAAAGAAAGAAAGAAAGAAAGAAAGAAAGAAAGAAAGAAAGAAAGAAAGAAAGAAAGAAAGAAAGAAAGAAAGAAAGAAAGAAAGAGGTGAGTGGTCACACAGTTGAAATATTTTTGAATCACAACATGATGCCCATCAGAGAGCACCCCACCTACAAGGGACAGTAAACAATCCCATAGACAGGATAGTTCCACCAGATGATCTCAGCTAGCCTCTGTTTTTGTTCACCCAATGGTAGCCTACATGGATAGACTGACTCTGGTGCAAAGATGGAGGTTATGTGTGGGATTAACTGAAAGGGCTCTGACTGAACAATACTGATCTAGCTACTGCTACTGCCAAATGTACAAGTTGCCACCTAAAGAGGCCAACATGAAACCCTAATATAGCATGATCCTTAAAGGAGACCAATTAGTCACTTGATGTATAATTGATGGCATTTCACTCTGGAAGGGTCAGTGATTCAACCTGACTGAGATTAATACATATTTTGGTATGGGTTCGCCTTCCCTGCCAACAGGACATTAATTGGCCAGCACCATTATCTGAAAACTTCTACAATTATGGGATACCGAAAAGCATTCTCAGACTAAGGGGCACACTTTATAGTAATTAATGTATGCATGGGATCCTTGTCTGTGGAAGGTGAATAATAGTCCCCCAAAGATGCTCATATAATCCTCAGAACCTGCAAATATGTTGCCTTACATGATAAAAAGTGCTTTTCGGGTGTGATTAAATTAGGGATCTTCATATGTAGAGATTATCCTGAATTGCCTAAATGGGCCCAGTGTAATCATATGAATTCTTATAAGAAGGAATTATGAGAGTGAGAGTGAAGATGATGTGACTATAGAAGCAGAGTCAGAAAGGAAGATAAAGAGGTGACAGAGACAGAAATAGAAAGAATGCTATGCAGCTGGTTTTAAAGACAGAGGGAGGGACAGGAGCCCAAAACTGCAGGTAACCTCCAAAAACTAGAAAAGGCAGTAAGTGAATTCTCCCCTCATAGAAACATAACCCTGTTAGTATCTTGACTGTAGGATGTCTGATCAACAGAAATTTAAGATCGTAATTTTTCAAACAATTTTAACCCAGCAAGTTTGCTACAACAGCATTAGGAAAGTAATAAAGCATCAGTTGGTTCCACTTTCCCTTGTTTATAAAACGCCTCATGGTCATTAATGCCCTGCTGTTAATCAGCTGACACTGTGGTGTTCTGAAGGTATAATTGAGGCACAGCTACACATAGTACACTTTAAATTAACAACTGTTATCTGAGTCTGTATTTGTGATAGAATCTGAGAGTTCAGGAATCCAGAGTAGAAGTAGCAGCAGCCCTTTCCCTACTTTATAAAACGCCTCATGGTCATTAATGCCCTGCTGTTAATCAGCTGACACTGTGGTGTTCTGAAGGTATAATTGAGGCACAGCTACACATAGTACACTTTAAATTAACAACTGTTATCTGAGTCTGTATTTGTGATAGAATCTGAGAGTTCAGGAATCCAGAGTAGAAGTAGCAGCAGCCCTACTCTTAGCAACCCCTTAGAGAATTTGTACTCTGTTTTACTTGGGCTCCTGGTTCCCAAAAGTGTGAGGCTTCTGCCAGAGGACCCGATAAGATTCCCAATGTACTTTAAATTATGGCTACTTTCAGTCACTTCAAACTCTTCAGTCAAGAGTCCAGCATACAAAGAAAAGAGTCCCTTTACTGGAACTAGTTGAGTAGGAGTAGTTGTCTCTATCATTAGGTGTAGGTAAGTCCGCTAGTACATATGGGAGCGGAGGAGAATATGTGTAACATGTAGGTGATGTATGGCTGTGTTTTTTAGTACTCCGGACTCTATTTGGATGTTCAGTGCATAAGTACAGCCTACATGGCTTGAGAAGAACATGGTGACCAGGGGCTCAGATCTCTCAGGGATGAGGATGTGAATGATCCTTCTAGGTAGGCCACCCAGCAGAGATTCTAGCTGAAGATGAAGGCTATGTAGGATGCATGTGGAGAAGATGCATTATGACTTTCAGTTTTAGCATTTGTAACTGGCTGTAGCGACAAAGGCTGTAGTTCACAGCATTTACCTTTCTCTTTAAGGTTTTTATAGAGAAAAACAACAGTCAGAATCCTCGACATGGGACGGACTCTCTAGAGAAGCAAGTGGATCTGAACAATGTTGTGGATAGACTGTAATGAATACTATAGTGTATTGCCCGGATTGGCCCTTCAGGATTGATTCACTTATTGAGTCACTTGTCAGAAGTATTGACTACTGACATCTCACAGCTGAGCCCTTTTCTGAGGACTGTTCTCGGCCGACAGTTGCTGCCTAGTCCATTGTGATGTCACCTCCCTGAGGTGCAATCTGCTTCAAGTGCCTTAACATTGCAGTGGCACAAAAACCTAGCCCATTGAGTTAATTCGGAGACCCAACTCTCCCTCTGCATAATCACTTCTTTACAAGTGTTATTCCTAATATACTTCTTAGCATGTAACTTTTTGTTTTAGAACTGGTTTTCTGGGAAATGTAAATGTAAGACAATTGCTATGATTAAAAGACATAAAACTTGGGGACCAGACTGTGGCAAAGTAGTAAAATGCAATGCTCTGCAAGTCAGTCTCACCTGGGAAGATTCCTGGTTCAGGTGCAGGGGCCTCCTTGAGTACTCCATGAGCCAGGACTAAAAGAGGCTGGGGTGGATTGTGGTACCAAGACCCTGTTTAGGTTTCTCTCTCTCTCTTACTCATGGAAGAAAACATTTGGGAAAAAAAAACCCTTAAAATTTGTCATTCATTTGCTTAAAATATTGATGACATTATTCATGATATCCTTGCCTATTCTAAATTCCATACCTGAGCTTCTTATTTTAGGACTAGCCACTCAGAAAAAGCATATCTTTCTGTAAAACCTGTTCTTTTTCTTTTTAGGAATAAAACTGGAACTGAACGAGGATACAGAGGTAATATGTGATGCTCTGTGAGGCTGACCTAAATGGGAAGGTTATGGGTTTGCATCCAGAGACCTCCCTGAGTACTCTGGACATGCATGTGCCCATGATCCATGGCTGACTGAGGTTGGAGGTGTATCATGGCATCAGGGCTTGTGCTATCCCTGTCTCTCTTCGTTCTCATTCAAGAAAGAAATAAGTAAACTTGAAAAAAAATAACATAAATTATGGTAATTCCTTTCCCACCTGGCTATTGAGAAAGTAAATTTGTTACAGTTCTTTCCCAAGTTCTGAAAAAATTATAGAAATTTTGTACCAATTAGAAGCAAAAATATCACATTTCTTACAATAATAGAAGAGTTTACTATAAAGTCAAAGAAGCTCTCTCCTCTGAATCCCAAATATGAGTGATTTTTCTCCATCTACTCACTTTAGTACTGGCACTTTAATCCTTCGTGCAGTAGAGAAGAGATTGCATGCTCCCCGAATGTACTTAATCTCCAGTTGGATGAGAAAAGAAAGGGGCAGGCTCCAGATGCCTGAGTCCTCCTTCCTAATTCAACAGTGAAATAAATTACTCCACCTCCCCATGCATCCATCTTCTGTCATCATTGCTCGCCTGATGGGAGAATGTAACTGGGCACCATGAAAAAAGGATACCAACTAGGTAGCCATTGTAGTTCAGCACGACTTGTTGAGGGTCTCAATTAAGGCAGTTGGCATAGAAAAAAGAGTGTTCTTCAAGAAGTCTTATGCAGAGGAAAAAGTGACTGACCTAATATGGAAGGCAGAGGAAATGCATTAATATGGTCCCAGATTCTATGTCTTGATGGTGTCATTTGAGATGAGAAACCTAGAAAAAGGAGATTGTTTCAGCATGAGAGATGAAGAGTGCTGTTTATCTTCTTTAATTGTTCCTAGCCTGAAAAGAATTTGAGAACCTGTATTTAGAGAATATAATCACTCCCCCACATGTACATATACCCCTGCTACTGATTTTGGCCTCCTGTAACAGATTATCCACATTATTATGATCTATTAAAACCATGCCACATGCAATGAAATATTTGACAGTAAAAAGTAATGAAATACTGATGAATGCTATGACATGGATGAACCTTGATAATTTCAGGCTAAGTAAAAAATGTCATACAAGAAGCTACATGTATGTGGTTCCATTTATACAAATCAGCTAAAATAGACAAAGCCACTGAAACAGATTTTGGTTTGTTGGTTGCCAGTGGTGGAGGAATTATGGCCTAATAGATATTAGATTTGTGTCAGGGGAGGAGGAATTTAGTATATGTGCATATACTAAAAATCACTGAAGTGTATACTTTGTGGTATGTGAATTTTATACATATATATATATTTTTAATTGCCACAGGGCACATGCTTTTGTCAGAGAGAGACAAAGAGACAGAGAGGAGAGAGAGGGAGGAAACACCTCTCCCCATTGGGGCCTGGTTAAGGCACAAATTCTTCTACTCCTTTTCTCAATCCTATTGAGATTTGGGGCCCATAAATACACATACCCCCACATATTTCTCAAGCTATGGATGTGGAATTCAAACAAAAGCCAACCCATGTGACTCTCTTAACCACTAGACTACAGGGTTAGCTCATGAAACATATTTCAATAAATCTTATTTTAAAAATGTACTTAACATCCTTCTCTGATTTTGTATTTATTAGTCAGGATGATTAATGTCAGTTGCTATACAGACAAACCTGTGAGCTGTTGATTCTCTTTACCCCCAGAGCCACTTGACTCTTGTCACTGAGCTACTTGTGCCCCAGGAGGGTGACTTGTGAGGTCTGCATCATCTGGGCTCCCCTGAGGCTGTGCTCTGATTGGGTTTACCAACTGAGATGCCCTCTCAAGAGACTAAGAGGCAGGAGAAGAGGCAAGCCAGGGCATTTCTTCACAGCCCTCCCCCTTGATAGCATCCCATGCAATCTACAAACTCATTCTTCTCCCGCCTCATGTCACAGTTCACATATAGCCATCCAGAGCAAGCCTGGAAGTGGCTTATATCACTTCCATCCCCATTTGTTAGCCAGGATAGTTTCCCTAAGCTAACTGCAAGGGAGATGGGAAGAATGATGTGAACATACACCACTGACTAAAGAATCACTTTCAAACTTTAATAAGCTCCTTAGCTCAGCATAAGAGACGCATTGCACTTGGCCCCAGCATATCTTGATATCTCCGTAGATGCTAGTGCTCCACACTGTGACTTTACATAAGTTGTTTTCCTGTCTGAATTTCTATTCTCCTTCTCCTCTCAGATAACTGTGTATTTATTCCAAAACTCAGCATAATAATTAACATCTCCACAAAACTTATCTCAACCAACTCTTCCCAAGGCTGATGTAACTACTGGTTCTTTGTGTTACCATAGCTCCAGGAGAATATCTCCAACATAAAGGTTATCATTTTGTATTAGGATTTCATTTATTTCTTCATCTTATCAATTGAATTGTGAGTGTCTTGAAGGCATTATGTACTATAGTTAATTTCTACCTTTCTCAGAATCCACCACCATTGACACTATCTAAAAAAATATTTTTATCAGTGGTTCTTAGCAGAGTCAGCATCGTTGCTTAGAGAGCATTTTGGAAATTTATAAAGGTGTTTTTGCTTGTCCTAATAACCGTAAAATACTACTGACATTTAAGGTAGGAGCTAGAGATGATAAACATCCTGCATTAAATGGGACAGTCCCTCATAATGAATTATTTCCTGTCTTACAAGATTTTAAAGTGTCCTATTGAATTTTCGAATAGATGAAAAACATTTTCTATCAGTCTGGAACTAAAAACGAGTTCATTTTTATAAATAAATGCTGTTTTAGTTGTCTGTTGGTGTATAATAAAACAATCCAAAACTTAAGAGCTTCAAATAAAGAAAACTATTATCTTTCAGGATCCTGTGGGATGACGGACTCAGCTAGGAAATTCTTCTGCTTCATGTGATGTTGGTAGGTGCTGCAGTCAGTTGGGGACTCACCATGCTCTCTACATGGCTGGTACTTGGGTTGGGAACTATCAGTTGGCACACCTCAGACCTCCTTCAGCTGGCATCTCCACTGGCTTGGGACTTCTTGTAACATAGTAGCAAGTGAATCTGCCAGTCCTCTAAAGACTGGGGCTCAAAGAAGTCCCAAAACAGCATTGCAGCTTTCTAAGGCCAGACTCAAGGCAGGTCCAGACTTAAGGTGAAAACATGTAAACCCCATCTCTTGATGTGAGAGGCAGCTCACGGAGAGGAGAGGAATCATTGAGGACTGTCTTTGGAGTCTAACTACCTTACTCAGACCTGAGCATAACTCAGATTCTAAGTAATTTTTGTCCACGTATATGAATTTTCCAGAATGATAACAAGGATATAACCCGAAGACAGTGTGTCTTTGTTCTTGTGTAGAATTTTGTTTGTTGTTTTTGAGTGACCGATGTCACATCTGTATCAGTCTACAGTTGTCACATTTATGATGAGTCAAAATTTTGATCTAAGTATCTGACCTCTTTTCTGTGTCTTTGAATGAAATCTTCCCAAAATATTTTATATATATATATTTTTTTCCTTTGTATCAGGTCATTGTGCTGTTTTTATTTTTAATTGCATGTGTAGTTAGATTTATTATTTATTAATTTAATATCAGCATAGTAAAGAAGTTGAACATATTTGCTATAAAGAAGAGGTATAGTGAGACCAGCAGGTGCTGTGGTGGTTAAGGCACTGGACTCCTAGATAGCTGACTACACATTTTGAATCCCAGACCTGGCAGCTTAAAAGTCACACTGGGTGTATGTACATGTGTACCCCAAATCCTGGACAGAACAGTGGAGAAGGGATGGTGGTATGGTCATCCCCCCAAGGTGGAGTGATTTCTCACTTTCCCTCTCACTGCCCCTCTCCATCTCTCTCCAGTGAGCTCACACACCATATGGCAAAAACAAACAAAACACTTAAAAAAGAGGTGTAGTCATGAGATTGAAAAAAAGACACTAATCTATGCAAATTGAACCACTACTCTGGCATCCTTGTTTAGTTTCTGTATTTGTCTTCTCTTTGATCTTAATTTTCTACTTTGATTTATATTTTACTATCTTGAAATATGTACTCTGGACTTAAATCAATTTTACTTTCTAAGCAGTAGCACAGAGAATATAAATAAATGAATAATGAATAGCTAGGTCTGCATTTTCCCCAGTTATTAAAATGTATAATTCCCATGAAATATATAGTATTTATCTTTAAAATTGATTTTTCTTCCACAGGAATAGTTTTGTTATTTTCTAGTTTAAACCAGAATAGTAAGATTTAAATATATGCTATAGTAACAGTGTTTTATTTTATTGGTATATCTTAATATGAAAGGTTTCTTGATTTATCTACTATATAATCCATTTTGTAATAAAGCATTTTGCAATGAAAGCTAAAAGTATATATACCTATTTTAGATTTCTGATATTGCAAAGCACTTCTCAAGGGGAAAAAAAACCACACCAATAGGTCTTTCAGTGAAACTAACCTATACACAAATATATTTATCTCATAGTTTTCCTTAAAGCCTTAAGTTGAATCATTACTGTACTTAGAATACATTAGCTACCTGAGGCTTTCCCTGTGGCTAAAGGGTAATGGGACTGGATTCCACATAGCCAACTATGCAGTTTGAATCCCAGACCTGGTGGCTTGAAAAACATGCCAAGGACATGTGCATGTGTGTCCAAAATCTGACAGGATAGAAAAATAGAGGAGAAGGCATTGAAGTGTGAACACACCCCACTGGGGATGTGCTTCCTCACTCTCCCACTCTGTTTCTCTCTGGTGAGTACTTGTACCCTCTGGCAAATTATAAAAGAAAAGAAAAGAAAAGATAAGGCTATATATTTGCCATCTGAAACTAAATTTGTGGAGTTGTAACAATTGATAATCTGTTTCTGTGTGACCTACTACTTATGCAAATATAATGCATTGCTCTATATTCAAGGGTTTGTTTTCTAACATTTATACTTTTATACCAAAATGCATAAAGGGATCTTTGATTATTAAATCATCAGCATTTCCTATAGTATGATTTTTAAAGCAAGTAGACAAATACAAAGGCCAAATCATTCATTTAATGTTATTTGCTGTGGTTTCTGAAAAATGTCACCCTCTTGCCTTGATAGACAGTCCACCCTTCTGGTTGGTAGACAGTATTCATCTTTGGTTCTTGTAGACATACTACACTCCTTGTCTAGCAGACAGATGTTATTCTCCTGATGTGGGTGGTTGTTACCCTATTAGTGTGGTAGTACTCTCTTTGTCTCTTTTACCTCCCTGGTTTGGTAGACAGGTGCTGCTATCCAGTCTTTTAGATCAGTAGAGAGGCAAGGTCTCAAACTAAAACATCCCTGTAAGTCATTATTCAGGTTTCTATGATTTGAATGTGTTTCCCAGAAATGCATGCGTTAAAATTTGATGAGCACTTGTACCTGTGTTGAGAGGGTGAAGACCACCTTTAGGAATGATTAAGATCGGATAAGATCATCATCTGGGTGGGGCCCCATGATTGACTCCTGCTAGTTTTTCTGTTGTTGTTTTTGCCATAGGGATATGTGCTTGCTGGAGAGAGACAGAGGGGTAATGTGAGAAATCATCCCTCCCTGGGGAGATGGCCATGCCACAATCCCATTCTCCTGGAATTTTGTGCACGCACGCACATGCACCTAGGATGATTTTCAAGCCACTGGGTCCGGGACTCCAACTGCACAGTTGGCCATGTCGGAGTTTAGCACCCTAACCACCATGCCACCTGTTGGCCCAGATGACTGGTAGCTTTTTTTCTGAGAGGTTTTTCGCTATAGGGCGCGTGTGCTCTCCAGAAAGACAGAGAGAGACAGAGAGACAGAAAGCGAGAAATCACCCTCCAGGGGGGATGGCCACGCCGCAATCCCTTCTCCTCTATTCTCCTCTCGGGATCTTGGGCACGCATGCACACACACCTGGCGTGAGTTTAAGCCACTCAGTCCTGGACGCAAATGGCGGTCGACTACATGGGAGGCCAGCAACATAGCCATTACGCTAACTGCTGGTCCCCGCCTGGTAGCTTTTTTTTTTTTTTTTTTTTTGCTATAGGGTGCTTGCGCTCGCCAGACAGACAGAGAGAGACAGAGAGATAGAAAGCGATAAATCACCCCCCAGGGGGGGATGGCCACGCCACAATCCCTTCTCCTCCATTCTCCTCTCGGGATCTTGGGCATGCATGCACACGCACCCAGCGTGAGTTTAAGTCACCGGTCCGGGACTCGAACTGCGGTCGACTATGTGGGAGTACAGTGACATAGCCATTATGCTGACTGCTGGTCCCGCCACCTGGTAGCTTTTTGATGAGAGCAGACACAAGCAACCTCCTTTCCTGTGATGACCTACATCACCAACAATGTGAAATTCCCAACAATCAGAAGATCCTCATCAGATGTAGCCCTTGATCTTGGATTTATATAACTACAAGATAAATAAAATGTTATTCTTTTAAATACCAGTATAGTATTCAGTTTGTTAGCAACAGAAAAATGGAGAGATAAGACATTCCTGGGACACAGATAAGGTTTATTATCTGTTGACAAGGATGTGTATGGTGCCCTCAACTGCACTGCACTGAGGTATATATCATTCTGGGTAAAGTCTCTTCACAATCTAAATAATGTATAGCGATTTAATGTCTGAATAATAATAAAAACATTTTTTTTTAAAAAAAAAGAAAATTGAAGAAAACAAAAAAGAAATGTGGACTAAAACAGGCCTTCATGGAGGGCACGGTACATGATTCTTTGTAGTCACCTCTAGAAGAAGTCATGAATGATTCTTTGAGAAATATGTCATGGAAAGGATGTAAGAGGTATAATTACTTAACTACTGTTGCTACAATAGATTCAGGTAAACATCTATTAAAAATCCTTCTTAACCTATTTCAGGGAGGTCACAGGAAATTCAGCACCACATCGAGCTGTATCTACATACTTTATAAAACTGAACACTGGTGTGGGAACCCCTAAATATTTGACCACAGAGAGAAAGTCCCCACCTAAGCCAACCACTGTGTCTACTTTAGTTTTAGTTTGGGGAACTGAGCCAGCCTCAATTCTGGTGTGGTAATAGAAAATTTAGTCTTGCTTCTCTTAAGTGGAAATAGTGACTAATTTAACCGTTAATATTTTAAACACTGGCAACATACAGTACTGAAGTTTATTACAATTTATTTTACAGACTCATTTCCTTTGTCAACCCCCTTTTCTTCCCACGCAAATCATAAAGTCTTTGTTCAATGGGTTAAAAAATTAAGTAAAGTTAAAACTTGACTTAATATTTGAACCAAGTAAAATATAACAAGATAACCAGATAATAGTAAATTCTGAGTCAACCTATTGAAATAGTAATATAGAGACATAGTATTAACATCATATAGCTATTATTCTTTTAATTTATTCCAAAATTAGATAAAGTCTAAAAAAAATGAATATTGGCAGGCTGCATCTGGTGTGGTGGTTAAGGCACTGGACTCCCACATGGCCAACTTCAGTTTAAGTCCCAGACCCTGTGGTTTGAAAATGATCCTGGGCATGTGTGTATATGTGTGTGCCCCAAACCCAAAAGGAGCATGGAGGAGAAGGGATTCCAGCATGACCATCCTCCTTGGGGATGATTTCTCACTTTCCCTCTCTCTGACTCTCTCCAGTGAGCCCATGTACCCTATAGCAAAAATTTAAAAAAAAAGTAAAAATGAATATGGCTCTCCTAAAGATATTTGCAGAATATAAGAGAAAAGTAATTCTCTGATAAACAGAAGGATTGCTTCAAAATGTGTGTGTCTTTGTGTCTGTGTGTGTGCATGTTTATGTAGTATCTTGCCCCATCAATCCATTTTGTATCCACCATCACCAAAATGAGGATTACCCCTAAATTTCTTTTTCTACTCTGGCATAAAGTAGT